GCACACACATTAGCCTGGACCTACACAGGGTTGGGATCAACAATATCACTGTCTTCCAGGCACACACATTAGCCTGGACCTACACAGGGTCGGGGTCACCAATATCACTGTCCTCCACGCACACACATTAGCCTGGGCCTACACAGGGTTGGGATCACCAATATCACTGTCTTCCATGCACACACATTAGCCTGGGCCTTCACAGGGTCAGGATCACCGGTATCACTGCCTTCCATCTCCACGTCCTGACCCACTGTAAGGTTTTCCAGGGCAGTAACACACATGGAGGGGCCATCTCCTATGATAACAATGCTTTTTTTCTGTAATACTTCTCAAAGGACCTGCTTAAGGCTGTCTTCCTGTTAGCTTTTCTTTTTATAAGTAGAGCGAGTACATTCTAAAATAGCAATAAAAAGTGTTTATAGTAAATACCTAAGCCAGTAACAGTTACTTATTACCATTATCAAGTATTCTGTACCATACATAATTAAACACCCTATAGTTGTATACAACTGGCAGCACAGTAGGTTAGTTTATACAAGCATAACTACAAACGTGAGTAAATGCATTACGCTACAATATTACAATATCTACAATGTCACTAGGTGATAGGAATTTTTAGCTCCACTATAATCTTGCAGAATCACTGCTATAGATGCGGACTGACATTGACAGAAACATCATTATGTAGTAATGTCTGTAATCTTATGTATATACACACATATAGTGTTTGTTTCTCTGGAGAACCTTAACAGCTCTCATGGACCAACAGTCAAGTCACACTTCAATATAGGTCTTCATGGACACGTAAGAGATGCTAAGAAGCCCTCCATTTCTTCCTCCACCAAAAGGTTGGGATGGGGCATGATTTTACCATGCAATGTATTTAAGAATCCCCACCTCCATCTCATCCTGAGTCTAGTGGCAACAGGGTAGAAAGAGGAGACAAACCCTCCATATTGAATAAAATTTATTTCCTACCAAGATGACAGAATTATACATTTAATTGACTTGCAGAAAAACAGAAAATTCAGTTTCTGTAATACTAGTATTTACTTAATACTTATGTATATTAAGCAAAATTATCAGAAATTTGAAGAGTAATTGGTAATAACAGTACTAAGAGATTTAACTTGATAGGTAAGTGGTAAGAAGGGGATAAAAGTATTTAAATAATATAATTAATAAGATTAATTCAAAACATAGAAATTGAAATAAACAGCCTTCAATAAAGAGAAGATTTTTTAAAGTATCTATAAGATAAAGAAAGCATATAAGCCACAAAAAAGTTACATCCATCCTTCAAATTGAGAATCAAATTATTTACACTATCTTACCTTGAGGCAATATAAGAATCACAAAATTGCAGAAAACACAACAATGTTGAAAACTGTAAAACAAAACATAATAAAAGAAGTAATCAAAATTACATTTACTAAAATCTTTAGAAAATAAAGTTAATGAGGGTACAAAATGGGAAAAAATGGACAGTGAACACAAACTCAGGAAAATACATTAACCTAAATTCTTACACTCTATACCTAAAAATTAAATTCAATTAACTAAGTATTCAACTGAAAATTGGAGGGAAAATGTGACTGGGAAAAGAAATAAAACAGCATGAAAAAAGCAATAACATAAATAAATTCAAAATCTTCTTCATTGAAAATAAGAGTTCACAACCAGATAGAAGCATAAAAAGAAAAATAAGAGCACAAATATAAAAACTTGAGAATGAAAACACAAGGTTATCTACAGATTTTTAGTAAAATAAAAACATTTAAGGTAAATCTATATTTGAAATATTTTCATATATCTGAAATGTATGACGTCCTGGAAAATGTTACTCAAATTGATTCAAGAAAGGGTAGAAAACCTGCATAAATTAATTACTTATGATTAGAAATTATATTCAGTTGCATGTATCAGAAACCTGACTGCCATGACTTAACCTAATAGGGGTTTATGTTTCTCACACTGTAAGGAGTCTTGAGATGGGCAATGAAACCCAGGTATATGTTTCTCTCCTCTTTAGGGAGACGGCTTTTATCCACATGCTCACAGCAGAGCTGCTGCAACCTGAGTACATTGCCTATATTCTAGGCAGAAAAGGCAGAGGCCCAGGACTACAAATAATTGCCAAATGAGTTTCGTTTTTTATTAAGGAAATAATAGTTTTCTACAAAGCTCCACCCATCCACCTCCATATCACCAATCAAAGCTATTTTACATGGCTGCCCTGGCTAAAAGGGAAGTGCAATTTGTTTTCTTAACTCTGAGGACATTGGCACCATAATCAACTCAGAATTCTCTACATAGTGAAGGGATGGCTATAAGGGAAGTAAAAGATACTGGTTGGCAGCCAACAGATCTATTATACCATCAAGAAAACTAAGAAAGTTGTAAACAAATAAAACAAATATTTTAATTCTATATCCTGGGACAGTTAGTTTCTTCACAACTTAAAACTTCTATTTCTTTAATATGTAAACAGTTTCAGAACCTAAATAAGGAAAGGAAGTTTACCGATTCTTCTTACAAAGCTATTCAAGCAATGAAACCTAATCTGAAAAACTGTAGAACAAAAAAGAAAATAATCTTAAAAGTTTATTTGGTAAGATAGATGAAAAATCTCTAAACAAAAATCTAGCAAAGTGCTTATAAAATAATATATAAAAAGAATAATATGCCATGAATTACATGCTTTATGCCAGGATTACAATGATTATTAATATTAGGAAATGAATGGATAAATAGATAGATGCATAATAGATGATTAATTGATAGAGAGAGAGAGAGAGAGAGAGAGATCACCATACTAACAAGTCAAAGGAGAAAATATTTGGTCATTTTAATAGATGATAGCAATCAATATCATTTCTTCTATGGTCTGAATTTTGGTATCCCTCCCCTAAAATTCATTAGCTGGGACAGTATGAACAGATAGAGCTTTTTCAAAAATATTAAGCCATGAGAGCTCCACCTTCATGGATGAGATTAGGGCCCCTATAAAAGAGGTTGAAGGGGTTCAATCTTTCCTTTTTACCATGGGAGCATGCAGCAAGAGACTCTGTCTATAAAGCAGAGATGGCCCACACCATGTACCTAATTTGTCTGCACATTTATCTTGGACTTCCCAATCTCCAGAATAGTGAGCAACAAATTTCCATTGTTTATAAACTCCTTAGTCTAAGGTATTTTGCTTTAGCAGCCCAAACAAACTAATATGATTTCCTAGTAGGGAAAAATAATTCTTAAACATAATAGGCTAGCTTAAACCTAGAGGCAATAACACACTTGATGAAATATTTTAATTGTTACCACGAGTGGGCAGAAAAAATATCAGGATGCTTTTTCTCCCCAATGTAACATTTCTACCAAAGAAGTAACTGATTCAATCACTGCTTTGTTAGCCATATTTTAAGTTAAGTATTAGAATAGATAGGACACAAGGACAATAATTAGCTGATGATATAATTATTAGAAAACCAACAGAAAATATATTAGAAATAGTAAGAATGTTCAGTGATGATACATTGGGGGAACAAAAATAAGAAAAACAGATTTGTTAAAGACTAATATTAGAAAATACAATGAAAAAAGTATCGATCTATAATAGCAGCCAAAATTTAAAAATATGTGTAGATAAATCTAATGAGAATAGGTGATATTATTGGAAAAAGGTCTACAAATCTCACTGAAAACACATGAAAAACAGTTTAAATAAATAAAGAATAGTGTATTATTTCCTAGTAAAGATCAATATAATAAAAATATCAATAACTCCCCTATTCAAATAGTCATATGAAATAAAACTTTCAAGAATATATCTTTAATTTGCAAAACTATTTCAAGAAGTCATTTGCAAAGATAAATATGAAAATAAGAAGAAAATTTTTGACAAAAAATGGATTATTTAAGGGATATTTTTCTTCCAGACACCTTATATAGCTAAATATCAAAAATGTTTAGAACTGCTGTAAATAGTTTGGTACCAGTGAAAAAACATATATTAGAATGGAATGTACTGTTTTCCAGAAAAAAAGAAAGAGAATAGAATCTGTTTTACCCTTTATGCAAAATGCATTCTATAGAAAGCTTTGTTTGTTTAAAAAAAGAAAGAAAGAAAAGAAAAAAGAAAACAAGAAAAGGGGAGAGGGAGACAGGCAGGCAGGGAGGGAGGGAGAGCAAAAATATAGGAAGAAAATATAGATCAATAGTAATAAAATCCTGGAGATTGAGAAACATCTAAACATAGTACCAATGACAAAAATCACTTTAAACGTTTAGATAAATGTTGTAATATAAAATATCAATGTACAAAATATTTAAAACCTCTATACAAAAAACATAAACAAAACAGAAATGATGAACAAATTGGGTAAGGGCCACCTTCAATATATTATTTATATGAAAAAAACTTTCAAATCGATAAAAAGTCAACCACCCCAATAGAATAAAAAATGACTACATATTTTACAATACATAATACATATGTCCTGAAGGGCAGATAGAGAATTTCCAGCTTTTCTCATATTACAAATGATGTGGTTGAAAACTTTCTTGTTCAAGTCTCCCAATGACACATGTAAGAAATTCTGAAGGATATATACCCAGGAATGCAACTGCAGATTTGAAAGGTTTGAATATCCTCAACCTCACTATGTCATGCTAATTGTTTTCTAAAGTGTTTATACTAATATGCACTCCCACCTGCTGGGGCTATGAGCATGTTTACTTCCCTCTAAACTAAAGTCTGGCATTTTCAGACTTTTTAAAATAGGCCTATCTGTTAGAACTAAAAAGTATCATTGAGAACTTCATTTACATTTCATAAATCTAATAATGTCAAGAATCTTTCATATGTTTATTGATGATTCCTGCTTTCTGTAAAATGCCTATTTATACCTTTGTCTTAGAAGTGAGTTTTTTATTTCAAAATATACAGGCATTTGATGTTTGTGATTCCCAAATCAATTACCTTATGAACAGAGAATGTGGTCCAAATGATACCAGTCATCTGAAAATGTTTAAGACTTGCTCTATGGCCTACACTTTATGACATGGGTCAGATTTATAAATATTCATATGAGTTGGGAAAGAATAAGTGTGTTGAGTCAAAGTTATCCATTTTATCCTATGTATGTGCTTTAGATCAAGCCTATCTATCACTTGTTTTATCTACTTGATCTATCCCATGCTAAAAGCAGTGTGCTCAAATATCTAATTATGTCGATATATTATCTGTTTCTTCTTGTAGATGTAGAAATCTTGCTGCAATAAATTTTTAAGCTATGATACTCAATCTATGTATGTTTAGAATTATTGTATCTTTCTGGCCCTTCATCCTTTATCATTAGCTAAGGCACACCAGTTTTCTCTAATTTAACCTAAGTCTAATACACTATTTTGTATCATTTCTCTTATGGCTATTCTTACTCATTTGGTTAAAGATGTGTATGTGGTAAACAGCATATTGTATAAGATACATCAAATAAGATCAATAAAGCTAATCATTCTGTTGATAGTTTAATAAAATTACTCCATCTTTGGCAAGAGTAATCTTTCTTTCTTACTTTTTTTCTGATCACTAATATATATGAATGTGTTTTTACCATCTTATTTCCTGCTTTGTCCTGGGTTTGCTGTGTTCCTTTTGCTCCTCTCTTGTCTTCTTTTACATTTATTGATTTTTCCCCTATTTCTTCTCCTTTTGTAGTTTGGAATTATATACTGCATTCTCTTAAGTGGTTACTCATTTTTTAATTGCATATTTTACTTAACAAGACTGAAGTAAATCAATGTATTTACCCACCTTCTAAACAGTTTGGGGAAATTAGAGGACATCTAAACTCCAATCAATCTCTCTCTCTCTCTCTCTCACACACACACACACACATACACACACGCGTGCAAATGTGCACATGCACAGTCGCAAATTTACCATCTTGTGTTGTCCTAACGCCTTCACCACAGACATCATCATAACATGTTTACCATTTCCTTTGCTTACCAACTTTTTAAAAACCATGCCTTCCTTTTGGAGTCATTCTCCTTCTATCTAAAATGCATGCATTTCTTTTGAAATTCAGTTGTTTTCTGAAATCTCTGTTCTTCTACCATTTCTCTTAATTTTTTTTTTTTGTTGGCTATATAGTTCTTGGTAAATAGTTGCTTTTCCTCAACATTTTAACGATATTAGTTCTTCCCACTCTTCTGTCAGAATTCTATATCTCTGTCTTTGGTGTTTAATAGTTTCACTGTGATAAATTGGATTATAGATTTCCTTTTGTTTATCCTTCTAAGAAAAATTGTGCTTTTCAAATCTGAAGATTCATGTATTCGATCAGGTTTTAGAGAATTCATAGTTTTTATCTGTTAATTTTGCTT